CTCTTCACTCCTGTGTCTCCTGTCCCTCAGTGTGTCCTCTCTCGTCTGTTTCTCCCCTCTCTCTCCTGGCTCTGCTCTTATTCCTCTCTCCTCTCCCTCCTCAACTGGCTCTCTCCTCAGTCTCGGGCGCGTGTTACAGTTTCAGTGTGCCCGAGCTGCACAGCGCCAGCTGGCCACCCCCTCGCTCGCTGTGACATTCGGATCCCACCCAGGTGGCCCCGAGGACAGGTAGATAAATACCGTCTCGCAGGACGAGGGCGGGCGTTCAGCTGATGGTCTCTCTGTTGGCCTTTAGAGCGAGTATTGCGCCTCTATTTTCCTTGGCTTGTTCTTTTGTCTAACAGCACCTAGAACTCTCAGCAGAGCGCTCGGCGCTTGTTTGAAGTCGTGTTGTAAAGGAGCCTCTGAAAGAGCAGCTCCAGAAAGGACAGGCGCCCGCCTCACTGGACATGCCTGTTCGGGGCAGGGGAACGGGCCGTAGGAGCTTTTAACCCAGAGGGCGTGACGGATCTCCGTCGCTCACAGAGCTGGTCTCTCCGTCAGCTCGTTTTAATAGGTGCTGGAGCGGTGCTCTCGGCCACTTGCGTCGTGTCAGTATTTGGACTGGCCGTGCTGTTTGGACAGAGCGACACACCACGGATGACTGGGAGGTTTCCATTCCCTTGAACTGGAAAAGGGCTGGGAAAAGACAAGGAGCTGGCGGCCGTAGCAGATGAGGGTCCAATCGGAAAGCAGATTTATTGGAATACCTCCAGTTTTGACATTTATCGGCATCTGCAGGCTGTTCATTTCTGTGTGTTCATTTCAGACAGAAATTAGCCCTGCGTTTTCCCATACTCATTTCATATGAAACCAGTCCAGTCTGACATTTCCTGCACTCCACTATAATGATCTTCTTGGGAAATGCGTCTGTATGTTTTTGCCCACACGCGTGATGGAGTCGAACGTTGACAACGCCCGGGCCTTGACGAGAGCTGCCCCCAGCAGCCCTTGTTTCACCACAGGGTCAAACTGCCCGTTTGTCCAGAGGATCCTCTCACATCGCTGTGACTCCTTTCATCCTACAGCTCAGGACTGCAGAGCACCTGCTCCTGGGGCCCTTGTGGGCAGTGTCTCTGATGAATCTGACCCCTGTGGTGAGGGGCAGTGG